CCCTAGGCTGCCGTGCTCTGTTACCTGGGTGAGGTCCTTTAACAGCTAGCTGTTGGCCATACCATCCTTACTTGTTCAGACTGCTGGTTTCGTAGACACATGATTTCAAAGCACATTTCCCGATCTAGACTGTCTTAAGAAATCTAGAAAGTGATGGGTGATCAACGGCCTGTGCAGGTAGGCTCTGCCCACTGGGTCCTAGAGACAGTGGTGACTGGGACTTAAGGGTCGGCCCAGGACACCAGTGAGCAGAGTCCTAGTGTGGATCCTCCTGGTGCTCTTCCCTGGGGTGCTGGGATCTTTGGAAGAACTGCTCACATTCCTGGTTTGGAGGCTGGCAAGAGAGGACTTGACAGAAGACTGCCAGATGCCATGTCACCATCAGGGCCTTGTGGCCATGGCCCCACCCTGGATGGGAACATAAGGTCACCTGCAGAGTCTCCCTTCTGAAAGCTGCCTGTTGATCCTGGACAGATGGTGCTGAGGTCATTGAGGAGGGGGACATACACTGAGGTCTACCCAGCGTGTTTAACGTCTTCACGTTGATCTTGGTCTCCCTCTGAAATCAGTAGTCATTAAACTGGGAACGTTCTCTCTATCCTGGTTAGTGATACCAATATGAATGTGGTACAGGGAAAACTGTTAAGCAGTTGTCTGATTTTGCAAATGTTTTTGCTGGGCCCTAGTCATTTTCGTTCTGGGATGACACCTTGGCTATCCTCTTTCACCTTTTGCAAAGAGACAGTATGCATGACTGCAGTTGTTGTCACACCATTCATTGATCACTCCACACCTGTTACCAGATATGGGCATTGGCTCTGCCAGGAGGCTACAGGTGCAAACAGCCCATGAGCACCCTTCCTTTGCATCTGGCCTCAGCGATGTGTTGGGCATCCTACCTGCATATTATCACATTCTTTTTTTTTTTTTTTTTCCTTTTTTCCTTTTTGTCTTTTTTCATGACCGGCAACGGGATCGCAACCCTCAGTGTCGCGCCCGCACCGCGCTCAACCAGTGAGCTGACTGGTCTCTATATGGGATCCGAACCCTTGGCGGGAGTGCCACCGCGCTCCCAAGCGCCGCACTCTACCGAGTGCGCCACCAGGCCGGCCCCATATTATCACATTCTGACAACAACCTGGGGCAGCTCAATAGAGAGCTCTTTTCATTCTTAAGTCATGTTCTGCATTGGTGATTTCTGTAACTGAACTCAGCTGTGTAGATGGTGTCACGTGTGGGAGGTGTTGGTGTGTTACCTGGTCTTGAGTCTTAGCACTCACCTGACCTTTCAGAGCTTCATCTGCTGGTGCCATCAGTGAGTCAGAGATGACCAGGGCTTTGTGAACTGTGAAACCCTTTGGTGGTGGCAGTGATAGTGAGATGGAGAATTAGTTTGGAGCTGAGAGAGGCAGTGAAACTCCAGGGGCTAAGCTCAGTGGGGTTAAAGAGAGAAAAAGCTCATGTGATTTGTGTAATGAAGTCATTTGTTTATACACAACACTAAAATATGACGTGATTTTCATCAATTGATGAAATATAGGAAGCAAAACTCCATTGATCTAGATTTTAGGTATATTCTCTTTTGAACAGGTTAGGGCTGTGGCATTGGACCACGTGGGAGATGAAGTCCTAACATGGGGTGTCCAGCACTGAGTGGTGCTCGTGCATCATCACACTTGAACCCAGTTTAGATGGTGCCTGTCTCTGGCAATGTTCTTTTCTTGTTCAAAGCCCTTTGCATCCTGTAATGTTGCAGTTATCCTCACTCAGTGAGGCACTTGGAGTTCTCTCTCATTCCTAATATTTCACTGTGTCTCTGAGTATGAATCACCGGCTCACCTGTAAGTGTGTGTAATATTCTCAAAACACAGGTGCCTTCAGTGTCTGGGTCCTCACAGAAAGAAGGTGCTAGTTTGTCCTCCATGGATATGCTTTGTTGCACTCTCTTTGTCACTCCTCTTCCCCTGGGTGACGGAGACACAAAGGATTACTCAAAGCCCATTTCTTCTGAGCAGTGAGAGATCCCAAAGGGGTTAATTTCCTGGAACCCTCAAGAGAGAGGCTTTCCTCCTCTGGAAATTAACACGGGACTGGGTTTCTGTCTCAGTATTTATTTTCCAGTCCAGAAAGTTACAGAAAAGGAACATAGGTGGAGTTATGGCTAAGCAGTGAAATAACAAAGTGACATTCCATAATGTAATTTGCAAAAGGTTAAGTCGATCTACCACAAAAGCTTGTTCTTAGCAAATACTGTCTTTTCCTACAGCAGTTTCCTCATAAAGTAACTTTAGGTCAACCTGGTCCAAGAGCATCTGTCCTTGAGCCAGCAGTTTTGCTGTGTTACAATTCTTTATCTGCAACAGAGACTTTAGACTGGGGAAAAGTTTCCTGTCATTTGAAAGCTTAACATTTCTTTGTGTAATGTTTAAAAGTTAGGGTATACCTGAAACTACAGGACTTTGGAAACTAGGCCCTGTGAAATACATTTGCTTTATAAATGTTAGTACTCCACAGTGTTCTTGCTGTGTTTGGTCAGTAGGGCCTCCTGGGCTACAGAGGGTGCTGGGCTCTTCTGACAGGACACCCTGGGAGGCACATCCTTGATGCTTTGTGGGCTGGCAGCCATTCACGGCTCCTGTTGTTGAGATATCATATCCTGTCCCATGTTCAGTTCACTTTTCTGCTTGTTTTATATTCTGCAAAAGATTGCAGTCATGTTAAGGTAGAGGCTGTTTCTTACTCTGTTTAATTAATCTGTTTCCAGTGCCTTGTAATGATGCTGAATAAATAGTTGAAATTACTTAGTTGAATAGTGACTGTTTATCCTTATCCTGCAGATAGACAGATCTGTGGCTATGCCTTGAAGGCTACTAAAACCCCACTTAGCAGCTCACATTTGAAAATGGTTCCATTAGCGGTGAAAACACTAGCTTACTTTGACTTCAGTTAAGTGTAAATCAACTACACAGTGAAAACATAAGAAAAAATGCATGGCATGTTCAGCATTTGGAAGCATGGTTTGGGTGAGCTGGACCGGTTCTGTTCAGTAGAATTTTTGGTGTTGATGGAAACGTTCTGTGTCTTTGCTGTCCTAATGCAGCAGCCGCAGGTCACCTGGGGCTGTGGAGCCCTTGAAACAAGGCTGATAGAACTGCGGAACTGCACTTTTCATTTAATTTTAATTAACTTTAATTCACATGTGGCTGGTGGCTGCTGAATTGGCGGGAAAAGAAGAATGGCAGAGAAAGCAGGCAGGGCAGATTGCCGCGTGTACCTGGATCTAGTAATAATAGTTACCTGGAAGAGTTTTGCCTTTTCTCCCTTTAAGGCCTCTTGTGTTTCGTGAGATTTTTCCTTTTTTTCTTTGCAAAACTGTTTGTTGATCCTTCCATGCTTTCTTGCAATTAAGATTGGCACACTAACAACACTGTAAAAGTGCTGACCATGGGTTGAGAAGTGTTGACTCTTGTTTTGTTTTTAATGTTTCTTGGTCACATTTTCTGGGTCAGATTCCCAAAGGAGAAGGATGTCATCCTTCCTGTCATGTTCTAGGATTCTGGGGCAAAGATGAGCTGGAGTGCAATGGAGATGGGCAGGCGTCTTCCCAGGCTTGCAGCACCAGTGTCTCTGCCCCAGGTTATTGCTGGTGTCCCCACCCCAGATACCTGGAGGTCTGCAGAGATGCATACTTTCCCTTGTATGCAGACATTCTCCTGCTGCGCCCTGGCCCCGAGCTCCTGACTCCCGGGGCTCGGGCCTGCAGACGGTTTGGCTGTAGAGTCTGCCATCCAGCTATCAGCACTGCTTCTGGTTGCCTCTTTATCTGTTCTTGTTCTTGTGAGTTGATGCCTTTTACAGTTACTGTCACTGGCATAGTATGGATTTGGGAGGGAGAGACGGTTGCTTTGCATCACACGGGGTAGTGGGAGATGCAAAAAGGATTACTCAAAGCCCATTTCTTCTGAGCAGTGAGACACCCTGGAGGGGTTAATTTCCAGGAGCCCTCAAGAGAGAGGCATTCCTCCTTCGGAAAACTAACCCTGAACTGAGGTTCAGTCTCAGTATTTATTCTCCAAACTGGAAAGTTACAGAAAAGGAACATAGATGGAGTTATGGCTAAGTATAGTTTAACAATAGAGGCTGGTAACATCAGTGAAATAACAAAGTGTTATTCCATAATGCAGTTTGCAAAAGGTTAAGTCGATCCACCAACAAAAGCTTGTTCTTAGCAAATACTGTGTTTTCTTACAGCAGTTTCCTCAGTATTTTTATATAACAATAAAGCAACTTTCTTAACATATCAATCAGTAGGTTAACCTGCTCCAAGAACGTCTGTCCTTGAGAACCAGCAACTTTGCTGTGTTACAATTCTATATCCACAGCAGAGACTTTAACCTGGGGAAACTTTCCAGTCTTTTGCAAGCTTAACATTTCTAGAGGTAATTTCAAAAAGCTAGGTTAAACCTGAAACTACAGGGCTTTGGAAACTAGGCCCTTTGAAATACATTTGCTTTATAAATGTTAGTATACTCCACAAGAGGTGTCTTGTAGACATGCTCAGCTCCAGTCTTAAACCTGAACTGAAAGGTAGCTTTTGTGTGTTTTCTTGTGCCAGTCTTTATGCTACTTTAATAGAAAACCTTACCCAACCAAATAACTGCATTTGATTATTCTCCTTATTTTATGTAAAATTTGTCTTCATGGCATCTGTTTTTCTCACCGCCCTAACAACTTGGACATGTGGGTCTGTGGCTGTGCTGTGCCCAAGTCCTGGCAGCCGGATGCTGCAGAGAGAACTGTGCAGCAGAGCTGCTCCCCAGTGGCCCCTTGTCTCTGCTGGACTCATGGTGCGAACAGATATATGCTTGGATTTGTGCATCTTGTCTTCACAGATGGGTGCAGAGGGAGGTCTGCTTGCTCAGAGTCTGTCTGTCACTCCCAGCTTTCCTTCTGTGTGTGAAACTGATGATTATATCTCCCTGTGTGTTGTGTGTCTCCAGGTTGCCTGAAGCTCAGCAGAGAGTTGGAGGCTGCTTTTTGAATCTAATGCCACAGATGAAAACCTTGTACCTCGCATATTGTGCCAATCACCCATCTGCAGTGAACGTCCTCACAGAACACAGGTTTGCTCACTCTGCCATCTGGATGCAGGGAAGGGGGACAGTTCTGTGGTCTTTGAATAGTACATGAAAAACAATGTTAAACATTCATAAAATGGGAAGTTCATGAGACAGATAGGCTGTAAGAGAAAGAGTCCCATTTCAAATTAGGACTAGATTTTATAGGCAGAATGTTAAATTGGAGACATTAACTTTAGCTTTTCAACCTGAAGCAAATTAAAACAAGTGGAACAGAATGTACAAGTTTTTTGCTAGTTTTATAAGGCAAGGTGATATCTTTCCTAAGAGATGGAGGGAATTGCTTAGCTGTCTCCGGTACCTGGGGGAGTCTCAGCAGTCAGTGAATGTGGAGGAGGGAGGGTTGGCTTTGTTTTAGGTAACTGTACGCACAACTTGAGAGCTCAGAGGCTCGCTTTCTGCTTCTAAGAGAAGCAGTTTTTCCATAAATGTTTTAGGGGGGGAAAAATCATGGTTTCTTTTTAAAACAGCTCAAGGTTTTTCAAAGCCATAAATGGAACACCTATTGTCTTAGTAACATCACAATAAATGCTATTGTGCTTCTAATTTAAATATTTAGCTTCAATTTAACATTTCAACTTTAAACTCACTTTTGGTGAGCAGGTGTTGCTTACTTGTTTAGAAATGCAGTGAGGCTCAAGTGTAGCAGTACGTAGTCATTGTCAGGTTGTAGCAGAAGTGGTAGCAGGGCAGACTTGGCCTTGAGTCCTGACTGCCACCCTCCTGCTGTGGAGCTTTGGACAGGTTACCTAACGTCCCTGGTTTCAGCTCCCTTTCCTGATTCTGAAAAGTGTCTTTTCATAGGGTTATTATAAGCATTAAGCAAAACATATATAAACTGTCATATCAGCATGAACATGATAAATGTTCAATAAATGCTCATTGTTTTGTTGTCGTGTTTTTAACAACAACAACAAAAAAATGAAATGACCCTGGACTGTCCGTGAGCTAACAGTATAATGCAAGGAGTTTGCTATTATTATTGATGGGTAGTTATTTACGGGGACTGGGCAGAGTATCAATCCACTCAAATGCTGTGCAGCTGCTTTCTCCATAACCCCCAGGGGAGGAGTTGAAGCTTATAAGGGACTTAGGGACAAAAGTGGAGCTATGCCAAGGAAGAGGCTGCAGGAGTGAAAGATTCCCAGGTGCCTCTCAGCCTCCTGTGGCTTATCCTTGGGGTTGCTGGCATCATTCCCCTTATCTTACACAAGCATAGCGTTCTGTTCCTTTCCCTTCCTCAGTTGCTAAGCAACCTGTGCAGGGGAAAGATTGTGGTTATTGAATCCAGAACTCCAAAAGCCACAGGGATGCAGTGAGTTCTGACCAGCATTCCTATACTGGACATATTTTAAATATTAAAGGATTAAAAATGTTTGAACTTCCCGTTTGTATTCAAGCATTTCCAGTCCTGAAATGAAGCAGCAGCCTTCGGCAGTATAATGAGAGAATACACAGTAGTCATAGAAAAGAAAAACCCGAGGAGGCCGCCTTCAGTGCTCTCCTGTCTGCCCTTCCTCTTCCTCGCCACTCTGGGAGTGTGGGCCACATTAGTGAGTGTGAAGCACATGTGCAGTTACATGCTGTTCCATCTATTCCTAGGAACTTTTGAATTAGGTGAAATTTCCACGAAAGTGAAATTATTACATTTGTCTCTTTGAAAATTCTTCAGGAATTATTGATGCAGTGTTCAGGGAGATAAACAAAAATCAAGTGGGATGTTAGGGTAAAATGGTAAAAATGGTTTTTCGTTTTTTTCTCCCACTCCCCTTTTTTGGGAGAGGAAGACTGACACTGTAGGGTGGGGCTGGGAATATAGAAAGAGAGTAGGGTAGACAGTTTTGGGGAAAGAGTGTGACTAAAATATTTTCCCCGTCCTAAAGATGACATTTAAAGCAACTAAGACTGTACAGGTTTCCTAACGTTCAGGGGAGATGCCCATGAGAATGTGCTTCTTATCTTCTTCTCTGCTATTACCCGTGATGACCGTTTGTGTCATGTGCGAAATGTAAGCACAACGTTTCTCAGAGTAACCAGAGGAAAGAGTACAGATGAGTGTTTGAGTCAGTGAGTGCCTGAGCCTCCTCCGTGTGGCATGCCCAGGGTGTGGAGGTGGGTGGGCTCAGGCCGTGCTCCGACAGCAGCCCCAGAGCAAGTCGCTGTAGCCTTCGGCCCTAAGAGTCTCAGCCACAGAGAGAGGAAAGTCCCCAGAGCCAGCAGGGCCTGGTGGCAGTAGGACGTGATGCTTGTGTGCCCTCCTGAGGTCCCTGAGCCGAGAGAGTTCCCACCCAGTCCACCACAAACCACAGCCCACTCCCAAAGTACATGTCGGTGAATGGGGACTGTGATTTCTTGTAGCCAAGAGCTTCTTTCAGTGTTCCTGCTGTTTGTGCTGGGAGTTGTAGCTTCTGACCCTTGCCTGCTTTCCTATATTTGCTACTGTCTTTAGGCTGCCACACCTATGGGTGGATAATCTGTTTTCTGTGCTTGAGTATACTTTCTAAGGATTGGCTTTAGTGTTTTGAAAGTTAAAACTTAACGTGACTTCACAGTCCTTGTCTTGTTTTAGTTTAAATTCTGAGTAGAATCTTGTGAATGTGCAGGGTCACCAGTTCTATGGAGTTACCACTGAGATAGATGTACCTCTGTGTGACCATAGGACAGCAGACGTCGTAGTCTGTGGCTGGCTATTTTGAATAGACTGTTGGTTTCATAATTAGTCTGTGAACAATGTTACTTTTTGCGTGGCTATGTGGTAGTTCTTTTCCCGTCTGTTCCTTTTGTTGCTGTCTTGCAGCCCACAGCATCGTTTCAGCGAGTACAGGGGAGGAGACACTGTGAGTGTTGCTAGCGTTGGTGGAAATTAAGCTGAAAGAGCCATTGTTTTGTCAAAATAGCTGTAACTAGCTGTTCTGTTTTATTATGGTACTACATTTTCTAAAAACTCTAAAATGGAACTAAAACAGTGATCTGTCAAGATTTATAAAGTTCTGTTTCCTTTCTTAACTGCATGTACCTGTTCTGGCATCTTAAGAATGTTATATGAATGTTAAATAAGTTACTTTTCCTTGTCAGAATTTCACTTAATTTTTTAGTTTTAGGATGGGGGGTGATGATGAAAGCCTGTGTAGTTTTGTTAATTTTTCTCTGCCAAGACTAGTTAGGAAATTTCACATAAACCGCGAAATACCAATAATGACCTGAGCAGATTTCTGCTTGGTTTGTATCTTGGTAGAAAAGGTCCTGTATGGATTATATTTAAAGGAGTTGAAATATACTTTGAGCGTCATGAAGTTAGTTTTTATGGGACTGTTCCTGGTACATTGTTCAGCACTTGGAGAAATGTTGGTAATATGTAAATTCCTCCTGTGCCTTCCGCTCACGCCTCAGGCATTGGTGGAGTGAGCAATCGAAGGAGATGAGCATTTCTGAGTAAGGAGGAGGAGCGGGTTGTTGTGAATGCAAGGAACAGCGTTGCCTGTGGTCAGAGGGGCTAGGCTGGCCGGTTGCACTGTCCACTAGGGACTTGGCTGTGACTCACACGGAGATCTTCAGCCCTTCTAGCAGCTGCAGCCCGTACAGTGGCTCTCACGGCAATTCTTCACCTGCAGCGCACACACAACAATGCATGTGTCACCAGCACGGTCCTGATGGCTCTGCCTTCTGCAGTGCTGGCTGTTGCCACAGCTGGTGGGAGAGGAGGAAGTGGTGGCACTGCAGTGGGTGCAGTCTGTCCCCGACCTTCCTATTACCACCCATCTCCTGGTGGGAAGGTCGGTATCGAGGAGGGCGAAGGGTGTCTCTGTGTTTAGAAATGATAGTGAAAACGTGAAACTGTACTCAGGTACTAGGGTGCTCATCATGACTTTTCAAGCCAGTACAGCCTTAGGGGTGAACGGTGCAGTAATCCACAGCAAAGTCCTGCAGATATCACTGTGTTCAGTTTCAGTACTCCCAGTGCTGTGCTTTTCCCCAGAAAACAACTTTTATTTTATTTTATTTTTTTTCCTTTTTGTCTTTTTTCGTGTCTGGCAACGGATCGCAACCCTCAGTGTCGCGCCCGTACCGGACCGGGACCGGCAACGGGATCGCACCCTCGGTGCTGCACCCGCACCTCGCTCAGCCAGTGAGCGGGAACCGGTCTGTATGTGGGATCCGAACCCTCGGCGGGAGCGCCACCGCACTCCTAAGCGGCGCACTGTAGCAGTGCGCCACTGGGCCGGCCCGCAAACAACTTTTAGAAATCACAAAGTTACAGACACAAAGATGTAGAGCAGTGAGTCATCTGTGAAAACAAACACACATGCGTGCACACCCACAAACACACCCGGAAGTCGTTTGACAATTTCTATGCTAATAATTTTTAAAATTGCATCTCCATCAGGGGCTGTCTTGCAGTAATAAAATAATTATGAAGACTTATATGTAGAATTGAGAATATGGTTATTATACCTGTTATTTTTTTATAGCTAGGATATGTGAAACTTCCTATCTTTATAGTTTACTTTGATTTTGATAGTATCTCTAAATGTGTACATATGTTTATTTAACAGACTGATTCTATGTGTGAATAGACAGAAGGCACTGTCAACCACATTACGGCTGTGTGTTTTGTGCAGCACAGGCCTGTACTCTGGCGCCTTTTCTTAATAAGACCACTCAGGTGTTTATAGATAGTAGTCTTCTAAAGAGATCTTAAATGCTTGAGAAATGTAGGGCTAATTTCCTAGTGCTTCATTGATTTGCTTTTAGCCTGAGACTTGAAACCTCAGATTCCTAAGTTGGCGTAGTTTCTCTCCTGGGATGCCTTAGCAGGGTCGATGTGAACCAGATAAGGGTGGGATGGAGATGGGATTCGCCAGCACCAGCTTGTTCTCATGCCTCCCCACAGGAAGTCATTTTTAGGTTGAACCATCTGAAACTGTCAATATTCACCATTTTTGAGCTAGCAGTTCCATGTGGCTTAGCCTAATATTGGCTGTATTTTTTCCAGGTGCCCTTAATGTGTCTGGTGTTCCCAGAAGCTTGGGTGGTGGGCCTGGTATAAAGGGGGTGAGTGGGTGGGATGGGGAGGGAGGCCTGGCAGTGGAGGATCCCTGTGCTTCTTGTGAGACCTGAACTGAGGACCAGCTTTTCCCTCAGTATTTCTTTTAGGATTTTCATATTCATTCTAGGGTAGAATGTGGTGACTGAGGGGTCACCTGGTCTCCTGGCATGGGACGTGGGCGACCTCAGCTGGCGCCCCTTCTTCCCCCAGCCATGGGTCACAGGGCTCCAGGGCCTGCAGTGATGCTCGCCCAGCAGCGAGCAGGACAGACTGGGCCTGGCAGGGCCTTCCAGGTTACCTGTTTTGCAGCAGGGGGATGGAACAGCACAGTGTTGAGGGCACTGTCAGCAGTCACTAAAGTGTGGTGGTCAAGCCTGACCCCCCTGGCACCTGCCTGTGTCACTTTGATGTCAGGAATGTTGGAACTCTGAGTGCAGATATGACTTGTGTGGACTAGAGGCCTTGTTGTAGGGAAAGTTAGAGGAAGTACAGTGCAGGTGATGGCGAAGATCAGGAAGAATAGAGAAGGGTTTAAAACTTGTCTCTAACTTTCTTTAATTGCTGAATATACATTCAGTTTCCTCATCTTCAGATTAGGACATTTTTCTTCTTCACACACTGTGAGGGTGAAATGAAACGGTGAGGAGAAAATGCTTTTAAGCTTCTGAAGCCTCAACACTTCGCTGTTTGTTGTGCTGCATGTGCACACTCCAGGGTCACAGCTGCTTCCAGCTGCTTGTGTAGGAAGCTTGGCACAGGTGGGCATTGTGAGCATTTGCTGGGCACAGGGCAGTGAGGGTATCGGTGTGCTCACTCAGTGCGCTGTAGTTTTGAAGCTGCCTGTATGTGAGCAACTCGGTGGTAGTTCTTTACAGCTTGAAGTTCTGAGATAAGCAGAAACCGTGCCAGCTATAGGAGCGTGTGCTTAGGTTTGGGCATGTCTGCATGGCATGGACATGCTCAAGTACCTTTTCCTTAATGGCATTACAGGGAGTCCCACGCGTTCTGTTACACATGTTGTTCATCCGAGAGCAATAATGGGAACCTTTGAGGGTCCCCCTTTGGTGCTTTGAAGCAACCAGCACAGGTTATAATAGCTGTAGCCTTCAAGATACTGAATGAAACACCCTGTATTCACACATGCTGGCTCCTGCTGTCAGTCCTTCCATTGCTAAATTCCAATGTCTTCTTTTTTGCTGCCATATCGCGTGCTGCCCAGTGAGGAGTTGGGGGAGTTCATGGAGATGAAAGGAGCCAGCAGCCCAGGGATCCTCGTGCTGACCACGGGCCTCAGCAAGCCATTCATGCGCCTGGACAAGTACCCCACGCTGCTCAAGGAGCTGGAGAGACACATGGAGGTGCTGTGCTCCTTGTCCCTGGCCAGCCTCACCACCAGAGAGACTGTTATGTGTGTGTTAGTTCACAAGCCAGAACCAGCAAAAAGTTTAAAGTGTTTTCAACTTCGTGGATTTTCAAACTGATTTTGTTAAATCCCATGTTATAAGTTTCTTCCTGCTTACCCCAGCCCCATAGAAAGGCATGTGCCTTTCCTCCTTCCCCTGTCCCGCTGCTGCTGCAGACAGTAAGCAAATAAGTTACAGAGCAATAACAGCAAAGGAACCATTTAATTCATGGTTATGTTTATCTTATGTTTAAATACCAAGTTGCAGGCTGGCAGAAAGCTGGGTGCAAGCTTTTCTCTTGGCTCGGGTCCGCGGACCTCTTCTGTGAGTGGCAGGCCCTTGGTCTCCCTCTGGCTCCTCCTCTGTCCTGCTCTCGTGCAGAAGCAACTGTGGCCGCTGGGACAAGTGGGCGCTGCAGCGTTTCAGAAAAACTTTAGCTATAGAATGGGCCCCGGCTTGCTCTTCACTGTTCTGTTCCATCTTTCTTTTCCCCTAAGTGCATTGGCTCTGTGATTCCTTTAAGGAATAAGAAATAACACTTCAATGCTGAGGAAAAAAGGGCGCGTTAAGGGTTGAAAAGTATTGGAAATGTTCAAGCTAGTTTATAGTGTATGCCTTTTTAAGAAGAATTTGATTATGAACGTTAATATTATGTTTCTTTTATTCAAAGGATTATCATCCCGATAGACAAGATATTCAAAAATCTATGACTGCCTTCAAAAACCTTTCAGTAAGTGATAAAGCATTTTATGGCAAATGAATGTAGATAATTATCAACGGAAAAAGATGAAAAAAAATTACTTGAGAACTGAATTCAGTATTTACTCAGATAAAACAAAAATAGATAGTAGGCATTCCATGGCTGGTAAATTCTCTTGCATTAATGGACTATGAACACCAGAAGAATGACACGATAATTATTTAAATTTTAAAAAGACACAACATAGTTGATGTTTTTGCTGCTTTAAAATTATTTAAAATGTTTCGTAATCTCCATCTACAGTGTCTTTAGTGATATACTGAGAAATGGAACACTGGTGGTTCTCTTTTATCTGTTGTCATGTTGTCCTACCAACTGCAGTTTTAAATATCTGCCGTATTTCCTTTTTCCCTCATCTCAGTCTTCTATGTTGTCAGACTTAAAAAACCAGAACAAAAAAATTCTTTGGTGCAGACTACATTTCTTTCTAAAAGTGGCAAAAATCTGCTATATTTTTCCAAAATAGTGTTTTAATATTTCAGAGCAGTTTTGTGTGTTGCTTCTCTTGACTTGGTTCCCTACTTTTAAGCAAATGCTTGTAATTCCATACAATTAAGCAAATAGTTTGATAGTTGTCTGTCTTAAGAAGTAAGCTACAAAGCACTGTGGTCAAAACCTAAGATTCTGGGAATCTCTCTGCTTTAACAGTGTTGTTCTGTGTTTCTCAGGCCCAGTGTCAGGAAGTACGGAAGAGGAAAGAGCTTGAGCTGCAGATCCTGACAGAAGCCATCCGGAGCTGGGAGGGGGATGACATTAAGACTCTGGGCAGCGTCATCTACATGTCCCAGGTCCTCATTCAGTGTGCAGGAAGCGAGGTACTGCAGTCCAGAGTGCCATCCCGCTGTCTGCCCCACTCTTAGGATTTGTGATCAAGATTTTAAAAGGATGTTGAGTAATAACAAAACTTAAATTTGTGGCCTACTTTTTATCCTTGCAAATATGATAGATGCGTATGGCATATTAGAGTGATTTAGAGCTGTGTGTAGATTTGTTGACCAGTTTAGATCCAGCCAAGATCACTTTGGTCCAAAGCCTGTATGAACTGAAGCACGTGTTCAGGCAGGACTGCTAGGAGGCCCATGTGTGCTTGTCTGACCAAGGGCTTCCTGTCGAGGCTCTCACTCTCAGGAGTCTGCTGTTTTTGATGGTTTGGATCATTATACTTTTCTATTAATGTATAATAATTGGTATTTGCTTATGGAGGTCACAGTTTTCTTTCTTTTTTTTTTTTTTTTGTCTTTTTTCGTGTCCGGCAACGGATCACAACCCTCAGTGTCGCGCCCGTACCGGACCGGGACCGGCAACGGGATCGCAACCCTCGGTGCTGCGCCCGCACCTCGCTCAGCCAGTGAGCGGGAACCGGTCTGTATGTGGGATCCGAGCCCTCGGCAGGAGCACTGCCGCGCTCCCAAGCAGCGCACTGTAGCAGTGCGCCACCGGGCCGGCCCGGAGGTCACAGTTTTCTAATGGGTTCTTTTTGAGTGAGCAATCAAACCAGATTCTCCTTCTATCCCCACATAGTGAAAATTGAACAGTTTGTGATTCACGATTCACAAAAGTTACATGTTCATTGAGTCACTAAGTAGGTACCTCTTTTTGAAATTTGTTATACTTTTGCCAGAAATAATTAACATGATCAGACCTGCCATTGAAACATGAAACTCTTAAGTCAGTAAGAAAACTGAAACTTATACTTTCAATGTGTATTTCTTCCCACCTACAAAATTTTAAAATATCACACCCTCTACATACTAAGGTCTTATAGTTTGGGTACTATAAGAAATCATGACTTTTCTTATTTACTACCATTATCAAAAACCCTAGATCTTTCCTGAAGCAATTTGTTTCTTAATCATGTGCTTTTTAACTTTATTTAAAATTATCTGTGGAAACATTTCCCGAAGTGTGTTCTTTGTGATAGTAAACCTAAGCAACAGTGATGGGTGCTCCTTTAGAAACGGCTCGTAACTGAAAAGATTGTAATCAGTTGAAAAGAAGTATGACAGAACTTCTCAAAGCCTTTGCTCTAAATATTCCCAGTGCGTGTTGTGAATCTTCCAGAGGGAATATAATACGTTGTTTTCAATGATTTCTTTAAAGTATAGAAACTTTTTTTTCCCAAGGCACTTTGCATAGGTCTAGTGTTCTGAGGAATATGCTCAGGGAAACTACTTCGTAGTATTTATTTCACTTTTTTAGGTAGTGGTTTAAATGTCAGCATTTGGAAAGGGCTGTGTGGCAGCATTTCTGTTTCTATGTCTCCTTTTAGATTCTTGGGAATTTTTGTCTTCTAATTGTGGTCTCTCTGACTTTTGTTACCTTATTAAAGCAAATGATTTTTAATATGTAAGCAATACTTTTAAGTCTTTCATGTAAACCATTTAAAGTTTATGGGGTGGATGAAAACAACATTGAAAGTATTTGTGCTCACATCTTTAAGTAGATGTTTGATAAAAAAAATTATTTGGATTTGTTTGTTTTTTATATTAGGAAAAGAACGAAAGATACCTTCTACTCTTCCCAAATATTTTGCTAATGTTGTCTGCCAGTCCTAGGATGAGTGGTTTTATCTATCAGGTAAAACACATTTTAAGTTTACATTTTATTGTCTCTTGTGGATGTGAGAATCATTTTCAGGTTGGCTTTGAATTTTCGTGTTAAATACTACATGTATCTAGGTATGTGCTATGCGTGGTGTTATGTATATAATGTTATATGTTCATATATGGACACACAGCTGTTGGTGTGTTTCTGTGTGACTATGCAAACATATCCTTATTTTAATTCTAAGCAAAAAAGAAGGGAAGAAGTATCAATTTGTAGAGCAGCCTTGCCAAGATACAGACCGTGGTGGTGCAGATCAGTCTCTGTCCCTGACTTGGGGTTTCTCGTGCCAAGCACTCTGCTCCTCTGCAGTGTAGTTTGCTGTTCTGCCAAGTGGGCTCAGTAAGGGGCTGTGGGTGCCGTGGGGTAGTGTGGGCTATGAGCTGTTGTAAGCAGTACAGCCAAGTACCCAGGCAAACATCAGGTGATTGACGCAGTAATGTAGGATCACTTAACCTTGTTATTTTATAATCATTTCACTGCTTTTCTTTGAGAAAATGTGAGAGCTGATTTGAGAAGAAAATGCAAGGGGGTCTTCTCCATTGCTGTACTAATTTGTAGTGGTGTTAGTAAGTAGCTTCTGTTTTCCTGTATGTCTAGTACATGCTCTTGGCGGGTTTCATTATTTTTGTTTCTGGGAAGTTACAGAATCTAATGCCCTTCCCCTCAGTTTTGAGGGCTGGTCAGTTGTGAGAGCCTGCTGCGGCAGCCGACGCCACTTTGTCCTCTCTGAGCTGCTTTCCTGTAGAGTGAGTGTTACTTTTTGTTGTTCCCAGCAAGAATGTTAGAGAATATTCAGTCAAAAGTTGACTCAGCTTGACTGTACCTGCACAGAAGCCTTTATCGGCCACCCAAAGAGGATGTGTCATCCCACAGTTACCCCGGAAGAGCACTTTACCATGGGTGAAGCGTATGCAGTCGTGTGTTGCTTAACGGCGAGGATGTGTTCTGAGAAACACGTTGTTAAGTGATTTCATTGTCGTGCACTTGCACAGGCCTAGATGGTAGGGCCCACTGCACACCTAGGCTGCGTGGTTAGCCTGTGGCCTAGCCACTGTTGTAGATGCAGCAGCGCATAACCATAGACGGACAAACTCAGAAAAGTAATGTCTTAATTTGTGAAGCCAGTGCTGAGGAGAGGTGGTCTGTGGCTGAGATATAGTACCTACTATGGGTTCCCCCCAAACTGGCAGCTACGCTTTTGTTAAATGACCCTGATAAACCTAAATCTGAGTTCATTCCCATCAGCACTATCTGGCTTTGTATTTTATAACCCCCATATCTTATTTTGTTGGCTGGAGATGAGTCCCTGCTCTCTTAAGGGAGAAGAGCTTGCAATTGGAGTGGGCTTAGGTCCCTGCCTGTGAGGCTGGTGCTCACATGGGATGTGCCCTGATGCTGTCTTGGCTTGCCACTGCGGACCTCATCCCGCTCACAGGATCCTGTTCTCACTCTGGGCCCAGTTTCTTGGGGTTTCTTTCTCTAAGTCCACTGACACCACCCATGGTATGTGCATCATCAGTGTCCATCTCTACTCTTAGAACACACTGGCGTTGAGGGATGTTAGAAAATGTTAAACCCAACAACAATAATAACGTCCTGTGTGCTGGTGTTAGGATATGCCAGGTTAGACAGAGTTACGCAGTTTTATTTTCTGCAGGACTTCTCCAAGCTTTTAAAATACTTATGTGCATCGTGAGTCTTCGAAAGGAGTATGCAGTATGTAGTAGCATTTTTCAAATATACTTGGGCACTGAAGTATCAAGCAGTCTACTGTTCTACCTATCGTACTTTAGGACGGGGTTCCTCAGCCTCAGCACTGCTGACATTTTGGACTGGATAGTCTTCGCTCTGGTCCGGAGGGGAGGGAAGCTGTCCTGTAGGGTGTTGGCAGCCTCTCTGGCCTGTACCTGCTGGATTTTAGGGACACCCGCCAGGTTCCGACTTTGCCAGATGTCCTCAGTGGGGGATAGAATTCCGTGCACCTTGTTGACAAACATTGTTTTTGGAGATGCAGAGACAGAGTCCAGCTCCTTGGCTGACTAGTCATTCCTCAAGCAGCTCAGCCCCAAACACTGATGGACTTTCCTGAGGACTGGATTTGCCACCATGTGCCCTGGTTTATATGACCTGGACCAAGTTATTTTGTGTTTAGTTCTGCTTTGTATATAATGGCCAGTTTGCATCCCTGTTCTGGTATCTCTCCATTGACATTTGCTGCACAGTTACTGATTCCTTCCGTTTTCAGAGGACAGGTTTGCTCACCGTTTTCTTCATGGTGGGCAGCATTTAGCACAACTGCTTATTTTCTGTTAACTACACAATAACTGTTACACAATCTCTCTTCTTGCCTCAGTTTCCCACCCTTACTTTGCCTTCAGGCTTGAAGCTTTCTCTGCATTTCTCTATGAGGCAAATAGGTGCTTCCTTTTTATGAACTTGCCAATTGAAATAGCTGTTGTATGCTGTAGTGTTTCCATCACAATGTGTAATATTATTGTCCTGGTATTTATGTTTAGAGTAACTCATCAGATGAAATTTTTGTTCTTGTTTTGTACTCTGTACCTTTTTATCACTTTAATTTCTTGATTATAGTATCATGATTTCTTATTAGAGACAGGTTTTTATATTATATATGCATCTGCTACAAACAAGAATTTTTTTTGATTCGCAAAAACAATTCCTCTGCCATTCCTAAAATCATTAAATATTTACTTTAATAATGGTATCTTCTTTGTTAGAAAATTATTAATTTTATTTTTTTTGTGGGGGGGGTTCTTTTTTAGGGAAAGCTACCAACGACAGGAATGACAATCACAAAGCTTGAGGACAGTGAAAATCATAGAAATGCTTTTGAGATATCAGGTGACAGGCACTAACTGTGTGAATGCCATCCGTCACCGCGATGCAGTGGGAGGCAGCTGGCCATTCGTGTGCAGATTCCTGCTTGCACATTTCGGAGGGTGGTGGTTAAGCGCTGTTCAGTTCTGCTCTGGGTGTGTGCGTGTGCCCTGTGTGTGCTTTTTCCTGGTGTTTCCCTTCAGCCCATTCTTTTCTTGTCTCTTTCAGGGAGCATGATCGAGCGAATATTTGTGTCGTGCAGCAACCAGCATGATCTGCATGAATGGGTGGATCGTCTTCAGAAGCAAACAAAAGTCACCCCTGTGGGAAACCCCCCCATGAAGCCTCATTCTGTGCCATCTCACACCGTAAGGACTCACATGCTCCTCCTCCTCTTCCCACCTCCAGACAGTGGCAGTCTGTGCTGGAGCCATCAGCCAGGGATCACTTGCTTTAAGCACAATCAGTATTTGGACCACGAGTGTAGAATACTTGCTTTGTACTTCTTTGCAAAGATTCGATCCTCTCCATCTGTGGTGAATTGTGTCACGGTGATCGTTCTTGTGAAGCAGCCCTAAATTGTGGGTGCTCACACAGTTCAGTGGCATGCAGGTGGGAAGCTGCCTCTGCTTGGAGTGGCCCAGGGGAGTTTCCTGCTAACCCCCCAGGAGCCACCAGTCCATAAGTGATTTTTCTGAGAATTTTACTTATATTTATTATGTTTCATTTAAAAGAACAACAAAAATAAGTGATTATGATGATGAAAAGGGTGAGGTTCATGTTGAAAGCATTGAAACGTAATTTTTGACTTATTATTTTGATTTTAAGAAATTCCATTTATATTTCACTTAGAAAGTTCAACAGCTCTTTGATTATTTTAGAGACTTACAGTGTTTCAAAATAGATCAACACCAAAGTTTCAGTATTTAAACCTCTCTACTGGTAATTGGTATTGAATTATTTTAATATTCATCATCTTTATCAAATAATATTGAAAAACTGGGCCAAACCTTTTAAAGAATGAATCATAACACAGGCGTTTTTAGTTTGTAGATTTTTCTCATGTCCTTATTAGATTATTAGGATAGTGTCTGCCGTGTAGTTTGTTTCTCCATTCATTAGCCTTCACATTAAGGTTAATTATTTGAACCACATTAATTATTAGGACATTTTCTACCATGTAGTTCATTCTTCCATTTGTTATTCTTCATATTAAAAGTTTTATGTCAAGAAGGGTCATGATAGTATAACATTTTGACCAAAGTTTCATGGTCTTACTCTATTTCTCTCAACAATTTGGAGGTTAAAACTACCCATTTGCTTTAGCTAACATTTCATTTTGAATAGTTCTGCCATTTATGACTTCCCCAAACTTCTCAAAATACTGAAGACACTTAGCTTTCATGGAACTAAATTGATCCCAGGGGTCTTCAAAAAGTTGGGAGGATTTGTATTATCTTTTACTTGCGTTTTTCCCTGAACTTGCTAACGTCCCCTCGTGTGTGCAAGTGTGTCTGTGAAGAGCAGTGGCTTGTAAAGAGCAGTGGAAGTGCTTTCCATCCACGCTTCCTTTCACAGCGTGAGACTAGGCTCCGTTCACTTTTACAACAGGCCAGCTGTTCCCTGTGCCTGGGCCTGGCATTGCAGTGTTTGTTTTCACATCACTGGCGGCTGGGAAGGGTCCCTTTAGCGGGGAGTGATGGAGCCCCTCCGTGTGACGGCACCGTGCCTCACATTTGAAATGCTCTCCGGCCTTCTCCTAGGGAGTCTGTTTTATGGGAGCATGTGTTTTCCCCGCATCTTGAATCACATTCTAATTTTAGCATAAAGCATACCTCTTTTGACTTTTTCAAGTGAGGGGAAACAAAGCCAGGCATTACTTACTGTGACATTAATGCTAAAAGAGATGCTTTATGTAATTTTATCTATCTGTAAGTTATTTAGTTTGAAAAAAATTATAGTGGTTGCGTAGTGTGAGTCTCACCACTCCCCCACAGTTAGCATGTAGTTACTGCAGGAGGTTTATCACTTCTGCTCTCGCACGCCAGGGCGTCAGCTCGTGTGGGCATTCCCTGTCTCCCAGCTGAGTTTCAGACAGTGTTCCCATCTTTAGGATGACGGCCTCACTCCGGCTTCCAGTTCACAGAATCACTCAACTCGTTCTCCCATCAAGTATGCCCTCCCCACTGTTATTGCTTAATTTGAGGGCGTTGGCTGAGTTTGAGTGTTCTTATTTTATTTAATGTTTTCTCATTTAACTGTCAGTGCGATGGGATGTTTTTGGGTTTTTCAGGAATGTAAACCTCATTAATAATATGCTCCTCTGAGAAATTAGATTTCGACAAACATTGTTTTAGTTAGAGCTGAGTTTTCCAAGAAAATAACTTGTTTAATAGCAGGGATTGGTGGTTTTCTATAAAGGTCCAGGTAGTAATATTTTCAGCTTACAGGTCTCCGTTGCAGCTGTATTTTGCCTTTGTCACAAATAGCAGCCAGGGACAAGGACGGTCTTGTTGTGTGCCAGGAAAACAAGTTTTCCTTTTTCTTTTCCTTTCCTTGCTTTTCTTTCTTGTCTGTCTTTTCTTTTTTAAAAACAAAAGCAGGAGTCAGGCCCTAGTTTTGCCCACCCCTATTTTATAAAATTTTGATACTTATACTAAATGAAGTACCTTTTCCCAAACTTTACTCCAGGCAAGTAAATGTGGCTGGAGTGTCTGGGTTTGGAGCCCCCAGTGTGGAGCTCTCCCTTCTGACTGTAGCACGGCCCTGGCCTGAGCAGATGGTGTGGGAGCCCCACACCCAGCCCAGGGGTGCACAAGACACGTTTGCTCAGAGGTGGGATGGAAACAATAACCTGGGGCTTGTTTCGCTGGGAGTGTTTTTTAAGAACGAAATGAACTATGTGTGATCCAGGTTCCTCTCACAGTGGGAGCCTTGGGGTCTTAGTTCTGTGTTTGCTCTTCTCCCCCCTCTGCCCTGGCAGCTCCCCTCCCACCCGATCACGCCATCCAGCAAGCACGCCGACAGCAAGCCCGTGCCGCTGGCGCCCGCCTACCACACGCTCCCCCATCCCTCCCACCATGGCACCCCGCACACCACCATCAACTGGGGACCCTTGGAGCCTCCGAAAACCCCCAAGCCCTGGAGCCTGAGCTGCCTGCGGCCTGCACCTCCCCTCCGGCCATCCGCTGCTCTCTGCTACAAGGAGGTGAGGTCCCACGGCCCCTCACACCGCCACACAGCAGTGACATGCCTTCAGGTCAGGGGAGTTAGATTTGTTGTTCTGTACTTCACCCCAGTTTTTTCCATTTCAACGAATTCACAAATGAAAATCGTACATTTCTGTCTGTGACATACGAGATACAGATTAGCTTCTTCAGAACTGTGGAGAAGGGCCTGCCTTCGTCCTCTCGTCTTCACTCCTGCTGCTTCAGGGGCTTGGGGAGCCTGCGGCAAACCCTGCAAGGGCAGGGCCTGCAGCGGCCCCCGAGGGGCCAGGGCCAGACCTGTGCAGCCCAGGACGCTTTTGCACGTGCGCTCCGTGAGGGATTTGCTTTGTTTTGCACGCTGCGCTGCTGTGCCTTCTGACCCACTCTTTACGTATGCGGTGCTGTCCAGGAGCCCTACATTTTGTCACCAGGAGCTATTGGAGGTGAAGAGAACACTTATAAATAAAAGTGAGAAAAGTTATTTAAGGCAGCTCCCCTTTCATGTGTAAGATATTCTTCTTGGTTCTTCTCCATTCCAATCCTGTACTTTTGTATACGCTAGGTGCACTTAAAATACAGTCTTTTTCCATAAATATTTATAGTTTCATACATTTCTACCTAAACCTACTTTGATGAGGAAAGGAAGTGTCTTGGGAGGTGTATTCTGAGGAATATTTTCACTTTAGGATGCTGATAATTGAAATGATGAGTGTGGTTCGTGTGAGTGTGGTGTGAACAGGAGTGTGTGGGAATGGATGTGGGTGTGTGCGTGTGAACGTGTGTGAGCAGGAGTGTGGTGTGAGCGGCATGCGTGGGAATGGATGTGGGTGTGCGTGTGAGCATGTGTGCGAGCAGGAGTGTGTGGGAGTGGATGCGGCTGTGCGTGTGAACGTGTGTGTGAGCAGGAGTGTGGTGTGAGCGGCGTGCGTGGGAATGGATGTGGGTGTGCGTGTGAGCAGGAGCGTGCGAGCAGGAGTGTGTGGGAGTGGATGCGGCTGTGTGCGTGTGAGCGTGTGTGCGAGCAGGAGTGTGGTGTGAGCGGTGTGCGTGGGAATGGATGCGGGTGTGCGTGTGAGCATGTGTGTGAGCAGGAGTGTGTGGGAGTGGATGCGGCTGTGTGCGTGTGAGCATGTGTGCGAGCAGGAGTGTGGTGTGAGCGGCGTGCGTGGGAGTGGATGTGGGTGTGCGTGTGAGCGTGTGTGTGAGCAGGAGTGTGGTGCGAGTGGCGTGCGTGGGAATGGATGCGGGTGTGCGTGTGAGCATGTGTGCGAGCAGGAGTGTGTGGGAGTGGATGCGGCTGTGTGCGTGTGAGCGTGTGTGTGAGCAGGAGTGTGGTGCGAGTGGCGTGCGTGGGAATGGATGCGGGTGTGCGTGTGAGCATGTGTGCGAGCAGGAGTGTGTGGGAGTGGATGCGGCTGTGTGCGTGTGAGCGTGTGTGTGAGCAGGAGTGTGGTGCGAGTGGCGTGCGTGGGAATGGATGCGGGTGTGCGTGTGAGCATGTGTGCGAGCAGGAGTGTGTGGGAGTGGATGCGGCTGTGTGCGTGTGAGCGTGTGTGTGAGCAGGAGTGTGGTGCGAGTGGCGTGCATGGGAATGGATGCAGCTGTGTGTGTGAGCATGAGCGTGTGTGTGGGCAAGAGTGAGTGTGTGAGCGGGGGTCTGCTGGTGAGCCTCCATGTCCAGTCGAGGGCTGCGTTTGCCATGAGCTGGGGCAGGCCCTCTCTCCATCGTTACTGGCAGGCCTTGGAATTTTAAGAGCCGTAGAAAAGTACCATGTAAGAAATTATAATCAGCCCTTTTTTGGGTTGTTTCCATGGCAGATATCTTTCTAGTGGTCATATGCTCAAGTCAGAATTTTTATTTTTTTTTTATCATGGGCCTGAAGGATGTTGGTGTTTTTACTGTGTAGTGTTTAGTCCAAAGATAAAGTTAGATAAGGCTGGTGAGAACTGGTGGAGATTTAACTACCAGGGAAGAAAATTGGGGAAAACTGTTAGGCAAAGCAGTGGAAAGGGGAAGGAGGAGGTTTTGAGTGAACATTAACGTTTTCATATAGATTAATTGGCTGTGCTTGCTCTGCTGGACTCCCCGATGTTACTGAGCACCTCAGCAGGGCCGGTGAGAAGGGGTCGTGCAGGGTGTGGGGAGCTGCTCTCACCCCAGTGCGTGCTGGCTGGGCACCCTGAGCAGCCCCTGCACCTCTGTTCACTGTCAACTGGGGAAGCTGGAGAGCACACTGTGTATGTGTTTCTTCTGGAACTAATTTCTGCTGCGTTTCTAAGAGCTTTTTAAATTTTTATTTTTACAGATCAGATTTTTAAGAGAGAACTTTAAAAATCAAGGCTTGTTTCCTCTGAGCTTTGGCTCTGCTTCAGCCTGAGTACGTCTCACCTTCTGGGTGTGAGGTCCTCATTTTGGGATTCATGAATGGCTTATATACTGAAGTGACGCGGGGGTTATCCTTTTTTGATACCAGTGTTTCATACGTGCTTGACATTCAAAGCCTCACCTGCCCCATAGACTGTGTCTTGCTCGCTCAGTTTTCGCCTTTGTCTCCTGCACTTTCTGGAGAGGACGTGTTGTCGCACAGACCTGCACTGGGGTCTGCTGGCTGTGGGCAGCCTCTGCTCCTGAAGCTCGTGCCCTTGCTTCTCCCTTGAGGCTTCAAAACCTTTTCTTAAAGGAATTGTTTTTCACTTCCCTTTCTTTTAAGCAGGCCCGTGTCCTCCTAGTCAGCTCACCAGGTGGGTCTGTTCCGAATCAGCAGCAGCCCCGTCCTGTGCTCTCCCTCCAGAGTGTGCGTGGATGTCCTGTGCTCTGGCCGTTTGTCCTTTCCCTCCTCCGCAGATGCTCCCAGCCTGCTCGCCACTCACCGCAGCACCTCTGCTGTGCACAGTCACAGAAATAGCGAATCCACGGACCACGAGGGCTTTTATCAAAGTCAAGGAGAAATGTCAGCCAGTGACTAATACTGAAAGTGCCCTGTTAATTTTAATGTTCAGCAGCTAGCAAAGAAAAAATCAAAGCATGAGAGAAGTTGGAAGCTCTTAACAATGGCTATCGTGGTTTAATACTTCTCACCTTGACACTTTTTCTAATATGCCAGTAAGAATGATTGACTTTGGAGTATATCAACATCGTTTTTCCTTTTTACTTCACTAGGATCTCAGTAAGAGTCCCAAGACCATGAAAAAGCTACTCCCTAAGCGCAAACCTGAAAGGAAGCCTTCAGATGAAGAGTTCGCATTGAGGAAAAGTGAGTGCCCGTGGGTGCCTGTGGGTGGGAGCACGGCATGTAGCCACGACCACAGCGTGCGCAGCAGGAGCAACGGGTGCTGGCTTTCTGCAATTTGTCTTCTAGTAGTGAATATTTGGTTTGTCTTGTATATATTTTACTCTCTTAAGCGACATTGAGGGATAATTATTGTATAGCTATAAATGTCTTATCCTTCTTTTCTTGCCACATTTTTTGTTAGAATGGGTAAATATATATATCCAAGTAATGTCTTAGAAAATATAGAAATAGGAAAACATAGAAAATAGTTCGGCCATAGGATCATGTGACAGTATGTGTAATACGTACTCAACACTAGTTGATTGTGAGGTGCTGTGCCTGGTGCTGATGCTGTTGGATGTTATTATTCTGGAAGATTCTGTTTTCATTCGGTACCTGTGATCTCTGAGGGTAGGTGGTCAGTGTCTAGATAATCTTCAGTTTAATGAAGAGCTCTAGATTGGGCTTTATAACTTTCTTAAATTCCAAGTAGGGATTCATGGATCAGAGGGAATGTTCCTTTTAAGGGCCTTCAATAAATATGGTCAGTGGCCTTTCCAGAGAGGTGTGGCTGTTTCCGCTCCCACCAGCCAAGTGAAGTGTTCTCTTCTCTGTCCCTCTCTGTCCACGCCAGCATCGAGAGCTGCCGGTCTTTTGTTTTTGTCAGGCTGGTGTGTGAACACATGGGAACATTGTTGTGATTTTCATTTCTTTTCTTCGTGAGGTTGAACATCTTTTCTTACTGTGTCTTCTTTTGTGCACTGTTTGTTCCTGTCTCTCACCCTTTTTTAGTTTGAAGGTGGAGGTACTGTGTTTCTTATGAATTAATAAGACAACCTTTATAAAGTTAGAATATCAGTCCTTTGCCAGATATGTTGCAGATAAAAAAAACTTAAAAACTAAAAACCACTTTGAAAATAACTGTTTTATAAATATTTAGAAAATAGTTATCTGACAAAGTAAAGGAGGGGTGATCTTCATCGTCATTTTTAGTGGAGTCGATGACTTTGCCTTCTATCTGGTTAACTGTACTAGCGATTTTTAGTTAGATTGTGAAGTGTGTTCATCCCTTGACAGGCACGGCTGCGTTGGAAGAAGATGCTCAAATTCTGAAAGTCATTGAAGCTTACTGCACAAGCGCCAAAACTCGGCAAACGCTGAATTCGAGTAAGTTTCACAGTGACATAATGGGAATTGCGGGGTTCATTCTGTTTCAAATCGCAATCCAAACGGAGCTGCTTGGGTGGGCCCGTTGCACAGCTCATTGGCCTGAGCTGTTCCTAGTGTGTGAGGTTTGAGCAGCACAGCAGGTGGTGCAGCCGCATGAGCCCCATGTCCTTGAATCACTTGACCAGGACCTGGGCTATCGGCAGATAACTGTCTGATTTTCTAGATGACATTCTGCTGGGAAACATTTAAGTTTAAGGTACTAGCTGAACTTATAAAGCTTCTTTTGCCTAGAGAAGATGTACTTGGAAGGCAGTGGAAGATCAGTTTAGTTATTTCAGCTATTTAAATTATTGTGTAATATTGGGGTATTTTTTGTTTTTTTTTTAATCTTCTCAGAATTGTCCACAAATATGAATCTCTAGAGCAACACTTCAAAAGCCTTTTTTTTGGTAGATTTCAGTATGATGGAATTTACCTGTGTCTTATGTATAGTATCTTAAATGAAAGCATTCTGCTCTGTTGTGTGGACAGTAAAAAGTTAGCTTTCCTTTCAGTCCCCCCAGCAGTGGAGAGTGTGGTGCAGTGTGGTAGCAGTGGGTGTAGTGGCACATGTCGCTCATTCAGAAGACAGGGGCCTGTGCCTTTTGCTGGCATCTGCAGCCTGGAGGGCCGGGAGGCTGGGGCACACAGCGGGGTGCCTCAGGCGCCATAGGGGCGCTTTCTGCCGTTGTTTCTTAGGTTGTATTTTTCGTGTGGTTTTTTGAGAACTGGATGACTTACATGTGACTTTGAGGAGCAGTTGGCTCTCTCAGGTATTATGCTCTGGTCCCTTTCCACCTTGCCTCGAGGCACACCTCCTTCCCCACGTCTTCACCTTCATCACCTGCCGAGTGGTGGCTTGAGCGAGCATCATGCCCTGTTTAAAAGAAAAGCTGGGGAAAAAAGGAAAGGTGGGAAAAGGACTTTTCAGCTGCTTTAGCTTTTGTTAAGGACAGCTGCAGTTGTGAAGATAAGGCTAGCAGGGTTACATCTCTGGTACAATCTGTAAATTGTCTAGAAACTTCTTTTTTGTGATTTCTAGTATTTTGTCAGTACTGCGCCATATCTTGCCTGTGACTTTAAGATTTTTTGCCAAGGGTCGGCACTATCTTTTTTTTTGGTTTATACTCTCTGGTGAAAATACCTATTTGTAGAAACTTGTCAGTGGAATAGGAGAGAAACTGAGAGGCCTGGGTAACCTGTCACAGTGTGGAGCAAGTGTATGTCTAATCAAGCAGTAATATGTAAATACCGATCATTGGGATCAAAGGCATTACATTTCATAGTTTGATGGTGATTGTATTTTAAGTTATAGGCTATCAAATGTGGCCACAGATTTTTGGATTTTGAACTTGAGGGGTTTTTTAAATTAGTCATCTTGCTTTTAGTTACTCGAAACAGCATTGTAGCCCAGTGGTCTCAGGTGGACTGGTCAGGTTCGTGAGTTCTGCGAGGGCCGTGGTGCCGGCCATGCCTCTCCAGTGACGAGGGGCTGCTCCCTGTGCCGAGCTTGGGGCTTCACTTCCTCCGGCTGCTGGAAAGGAGCGGCCTGTTGTCTGTGCAGCTCTTTGTTGGTTGCGTTGCCTGTGTCGTGTGTCCTTTTCTCCTGTGCAAGAAGAGCACTGGACAGTACGTGGATTTTTTCACTAACATTATGGGCAAACCACTCTGGGATCTTGCAGGCTTATAATTGTATGTGACATTTAGAAATGGGATCATAGTGAAAGCAGCTCTTTTCACATTAAATACTTAGTAAAGATAGTTTGTAGAAGGGTAATATATTTTACCTGAAATTAAGCTCTGTTCAGTGTACTTTTGTAAGTACAAGAAGGCTCCACAAACCAGACACCTTTGGTACTGATTCTATCTCAAGGCAGGAATGGCCTTCACAGACTATCGTGATTTAGTTCGTGCGATGGTCTGGAGGCAGGGGTCACTTTGATCCAGGAGTAGGAACAGGGACAGAGCCCATGGCTGCTGAGGTTTGCAGTGCACCATCACAATGGGGCCTCGGGCAACAGGCAGCCCTCGCGTCCTTGCATGCCTCTCGCACCCACTGCCTGGCCAGGCATGACTCACAGCTGCCCCCGCTCATGGGTTCTCTCTCTCTTGCCGTTTTGCACCACTTGCTTCTGTCGTCCTCCCTCTAACATGGTGGCATTATCAGCTCACGTCTCTGCCTGACAGTGGCAGGTCTGTGTCAGGATCGGTAACATTGCGAACCCATGCCCTGAGCACTGGCGAGCCCTGTGCACAGGTGGTGGGAGGGCTGTGAACGCACTTTAGTCCCCTTCTCCCTCCGAAATTCTCATGGTGGTCAGAGACTGATCAGGTAAGTTCAGACCCCCTCTGGTGATTGATAGAGTTGGCAGAGAGATAGGTGAAGAAGTCAGTCAAAAATACTTCAAAGTGTTTTAATACATCCACTTACTGAATAGGAAACAAGTTTTAATTAGCCACATAAATGGTGCCTTTTACAAATAATGTTCTAAATGAGACTGTTTTTTAATGTTTGTTAGTAGAATGTGCAATAGAATTGGTTAATCGCCAAGCATGTATACAGTCATTCTTTAGACCTGGGCATAATTTAGAAAAGATTTCTTAAATGAGGGCTTTATAGCAGTATCTTTAAAAAGGAGCAATTTGGAAGCAATATTGTGTTTTAGAATTATTTAAATGATGATGGATCTGGTTTATTCTAAGGGTTGTGCTAAGTTGATTATTAAAACCCAGCCATTAAATAAGGAGAATTAAACATTGTTACCATTTTTTAACAATATTTTCTCTTTTCCTTCTCTTCCCATCACCTTTTGCTTTTGTTCCATGTTTTTGGTTGTGGCTCTTCCGTCTGTTCTCCTTCCCTTCCTCCCACCTTTGCCTGTCCACGCCTGTCGCTCCATCCGCCCGTCTTAGCATGGCAAGGCACTGACCTGATGCATAATCACGTCCTGGCTGATGATGACCAACCAAGTCTAGACTCCTTGGGTCGTCGCAGTAGCCTTTCCCGCTTGGAGCCTTCAGACCTCTCAGAAGACTCTGACTATGACAGTGTATGGACAGCCCCTAGTTACAGGATGGGCTCTGCATCTCGTAAGAGCTGTTGCTCATCTATCTCTCACCAGAACTAACGCACCTCTGAGCTTTCCTTAACAAACGCGTGTTGTATCGCAGCCTGCTTTTCTTAGATGTTTTCTTGCTGTTCCTTGTCTCTTTTATGTGATATTTTAACAACTTTTGAGAGTGTTCCTAATATTTCCCATTGTACTTTGTGGAGGCTTAATTGCCAATTCGAGTATACATTCGATGACTGACTATTGCAGGGAGATGGTGTATTCACATGAGCCTATACCTGAGGGTGCTCCTCTTAATGGATAGTCATTGTTTTATAGCTCCAAATGGTTTGTTTTTTTTATTCTCGGTGTAGCAACTGTTTCATTTCTTTTTGGATACAGCTGTATGAACACTTTTATATTTTATACTGAAACCACACAGGTTTGTGATATAAGTGCCAGCAACACGGAGGAGACTCTGGCCTTATATAGAGAGACCTAAATTTTTTATGTATAGTGACACATTGATCGAGTAGTTTTGGAGGGGGGACAAGAAGAAGGTGCAGCAGCAGTACTGTGAGTCTGGTTCTGACGGTCGGATCCTGGTCATCATGCAGAACTATGGCAGGTGCGCACCGCGGAGGGTGGGTGTCACGTGCTTTCAGAGTCTGTCTTCACCCCACGGCTCTGCATTCTTCTCTGTGCTGCAGCCTGGCTGTGAGGGTGGGGGCTCTCCTTTCCGAGGGCAGAGTACAGTGTCAAAGCTCAGACATTTGCTCTCGTCACACCAAACTGTCTGAATCGCAGGGATTCTGTTATATGGCACTTAGCCAGCTGCACCACTCTATCCTAAAACCTCTGTGCTAAAGGCTTAAAGTCCAAACCTGAAGCATTCAGTCTCTGTGAGTGTGGGCTAGCCTGCGTTCAGAGAGGCATTTGGTACACTTAAAAAACCAAGTGCTCCAGCCTCTGCCCCAGCCTGGCTGCACCCCTGACGTCACCCTTACACTGTCTTAAGAGCCGTGGACACGTCAACTCAGCAGGCAGGTGAACCCCATACATAGTCCTAATGCTTTGTTGTAATGGGGTGTCAGAGTCCACCAATGACTTCCCAGGTTGCCACGTAACTCACTTTTTAAAAAGCCTCCCCACTTTCTTGGGATTTGTTGTAAGGAATTTTCACTGGCCTCATTTGGACTAGTTTCTGCTTCAGAAAGAACTGAATGTCATGTGTCATTCTTCACATCTGTCCGCATCTGGTCATTGCTTGAGGGGCAGAATTGTGTCCTCTCCCACGCATACTCTATTGGTGTTAAAATGGCATCTTACCGGTTGTGTTTTAAGTATTTATTGAAACCAGCTTCAGAAAACAAGATGCCATATAAATGGAAATAACATTTTTTCCTTTCTTCAGGGTGGCTGTAATTACAGGTGGCCGTGATTTCTCTATCCCACCACCCCATCCTTCACCATACCTGTGTTCAGTGTTGTGATATTGTTTGTGCAGAGTAAACTCTGTGCAATATCAGTCCTATCCTGGGAACTGGGTCCTGCTCTCACAAGCCTGGAGGTGCCAGTGAGCTCCTGGCAGCAGCCCATGGTCTAGAGAGTCGGGCCGCTTCATTCTGTACGGGGAAGGTGACAGCACAGAAGTCGTGAGGGCAGCTCTTGCAAGTGGCTACTGGACTGCTTATGTCATCTGGGGACTTTGTATTTCTATATCAGTTAGTATAAATAAGGATGTCAAGGTGCAGTCTTTAAAATTTGTCAGAATTCAGTATTAATCTCCAGCACAGTCGGGGTGTGTTCAGCCAAATAGCAAATGGAATTTTGGGGGAAGTGTGGTAACTATGAAGTTTACATATTTACTGAAAAATATCATACAATGGATTTAGAAGTACTTTTGTTTTTATATTACATAGAATATTCATCTCTTCTGATATTAATAGTAGAGTATCTTTTTGTCTGCTTTGAGACTGTAATGACTAGTGCATTGGTTGAGATGCCTTTGCCATGCCTTAGTAAGCTTTGTTTGCCTCTATCCTGTGCTACGTATTACAACATTGAAATGCAGTTGCTGCACTTGGATTTTTCTTTAATATCAAAGATCATTTGGTTGTCTTAATGAGACATTTTCATTGATATTCTACACACCAAAGTTTTGACAATTTACAATCATTCCTTTCTGTACTAGTTAAAGCCATTTTGATGATGATTTTTTTGATGCTGAGATCACAGCACAATAATAACCTGACTTTTTCTTTGTTTGCATTTGTTTTGAATGTTTGTCACCGTCAGCTTTTGGGATCTGGTTAGAAGTATTAGTGCCACAGGCCCAAAACGACAGTTCTCCTGTGGCAGTGGTGATATGGCATCCAGAGGGCCAGTGTTTCTGCCTTTGTGGAGCTTGAGTCATGCTGATAGTAGTACCTTATGTTTACGCAATTCTGTGATATCTATGTGCACAGTTAGTGTTATAATGATAGGATGAATCTGAACTAGAAGGAAGGGTCAAGCCATCATCAGAACTTTCGCAAATGGCCTAAATAGTGTTCCCATTGAACTAACACTTGCCACAAGTATATAATAAGCTATATTAATTGTGTTTTGAATAAAATTGTCAAAACACGGTAATGTGTATATAGTGGTATAAGATCTTGAAAAAATCTATATATTGTGCTCTTTATCTGTGAATGGGAAAAGCCATTTTTAGTAGGTGGCTGCATTTGAAAACTCGCTTGGATGTATATCTGAATGTTGCATTGTATTGTACAGCGTGCGTATTACTGTTTGTGGTTGCATATGGCAATGAAGTGTTGTTTTATAAAACAAAAAATCTGTTATGTACAGTTGAAATAAATTTTGCATTTGCTAGCCTGTGGCTTTTAATATTTGTTACATGGGGGAGTGGGAATAATAGCCAACAGTGTGCAGTTTAATGTGATTTGGCTTTGCTGCTCGCACATAGAGTCTTAACACAGGCAGGCCAGGCAGCGAGCACTTTCTGTCTGCCTTGATAGACAGTTCACGCTTTCTTAGGTTAAATGTGTTCTAGACAATTCAAGGTCACTCCTTGTACATCACTGGAAGGTTTGTCTTCAGAAAGAAACATCATTTTTGTGCATGAGAGGGAAAAAGCACAACTTTAAAAGATGTTATTTAGACTGAGGTCAGTTTTTTGTTCTATAAAGTGCATATCCAGGTGACTGAGAAAAATGAAGCAAGATGAAAGGAATGGAATTTCCTGGTGGCAGGCGCGAGATGCAAACAATAAACAAATGCTAAAGAACTCTGTGAAAAGACAAGCCATGTTTCTATTTCCTAAGAAAAAATAAATTAGGATAGAAGTCTATAGCCATAAATTATAAAGTGGCTTAGATGACTTCTGGAGAGATTTTATTAAATAGATTTTTTCAGTGTTACTATATTTTGCTCCATTCTGACAGTTCCTTTGATTTTGGCTGGTAAGATGTAGATTTTAGAAAGATCATAAATTTAAGAAGGCATGTGAGTTTTGCCATAGGTGTACTAGATTGTCAGCCAGCTAGGCATATTCCCTTCTCTGACAGACTTAACTTGCTGTTAAGCTTTTGGTGGAGACAGACTCACCTGAGTGCGCACACACACACCCCACATGCTGCCCTGGATTTGATAGTGAGCACCTATATTCCTGACACAGTTGCGTGTCGTCAGAGAAGATCCTGAATCATGTTTGCACAACCAAGGCGGTGGCCGGGAGCTGGGATTCAGAATCCTGGGGACAGGTCCTTACTCTTTTGTTGGCCAGAGCAAGTCATCTCGTGTAAAAGATGGAAATATTTTATCAGATCTGTGTTTCTTAAACTAAGGTCCACAGATCTCTGGGGATCTGTGAATGTTGGGGGGCGGGCCAGGAGGAGCAGGATTCTGAAACATCTCTAAAGTTTTTACTTTTGTGCTCATGTTGACACAAACATGTCCTCAGGCTTTGGGGTCTCACCTTTGAGTGAGGGTCCTGGTGCCTGCTGTGTCTCCAGCTACGTGCACTGGGGCCCCTGATAGTGGCTCTGCAGCACTTTCGTGGCTGTGTTTCTCAGCTGGCGTTGGGTGGGTACCAGGCATCTGCAGGCACATTCTTGGGGTCCTCAAGATTGAAAAGGATTGGATTGGCATGAAGTATAAATTGTTCCATTATATTCATGTTTTTCTTATTCCCACCTCCATATGGAAACAATAACCATAACCACCAACTAGAAATTTTGCGTCTGTATGTATAGACACAGACAGGAATATAAGCTAGTCTAGCACTTCTCAAACTGTTATCCAGAAAACTGTAAGATGCTAATATCGATGTTGGAAGAAAAAAAAAAAAAGAGTTCAGCACTCAAATGAGTTTCAGAAATGCTGAATTAAATGATTATGTTTTGGCAGACCTTATCAAAACCTATAACGTGCTAAAGATGCCTTGTGAATCCCCAGGTAATGGCTGTAGCGTGTAGCATTTTCCAAAATGATGTGTTGTGGAACCCCTCTTTCCCAGAAACACAAAAGTTTGGGAAACACAGATCTTGACTGTGCCAGAAGTGTCATGAATATGTTTATCTGTGTCTGAGCCCTTGTTAGGTGGCTTTAAATGAAGCAGTAGAACATTCTCTGGTAGTTCTGCCTTTAAATTGTTTTTCCGACCCAAGTAATTCAGGAAAAATGTGCTATAAAGCTTCCAAAAGTTCTTTAATAATTTCTGAGACAACTTGTTAAGTCCGCCTGCTTTCTAAAACTTTGTTCTTAAACATTCCTTCATTGTTTTGTTGAAAGTCTATAAAATTTTTCATTTTAAAGAAATATGTTATATTGAAACTAGGCAGATTATTAGTGTTGCATGGATTTCTATGCAGCTAATAAATAATCTTCATTTATGAGCCTCCTAGCTCACCATCAGATCCATAAATGGCATTTTTCACATTAGTGTGTTTCAGGAATCAATTAATACATTCCTGAATATTCTCAGACTTACATTTTTATGGTATATCATTAAATCCTTCTCATGTGCTTAAAGGGCACAAGGATACTTCAGAAAGTTCATGGAAGGATTCATTTATCTTTCAATTTTATTTTTCCGTGGACTTTTTGAAGTACCATCATATTTGCAAAAATAAGACCTGTGTCATAGGTATGTAACCATTATACCAGTTCTTACAGGTTTTAGTTCCTCAAATTAATGATGTTACATAATGGAATCGGTTTTATTTTTATGAGTTCATCTGGTAAAAGATAGTTATAAAATGTAATATTAGGTTAATCCTCAGGACAGCTCTGCAGAGGTGTTTAGTTTTGTTATTCTGTTTTACAAGTAATGAAATTGAGACTTAGTGGATAAATGATGTGTCCAAGGTAGCGAAGAGAGTCACCACAGAGGGCTGTGAAAGGGACAGCCCAGCCGGCTCTCTGCATGACAGCCAACCCCCGTCTGACCCCCTTCTTTACAAAGTGGACGTCCTTTTGATTCTGTGTCATTTAAAAACTATAATGCCAGAAACAGAATTGACATAGGTTGTCTAGGAAGCTAGAAGAGGCAAAAATAACCAGAAGGAAATAAGGTTTAACCTGCCTAAAGTGCAGTTACATAAAAACTGTTTTCAGCTTGTTTCATGAGCTAATCCATTTAAAGAAATGTATCGCGAATTGAACGTGACACTTGACACTTTGGCTCTAACATGGGGGCCACCTGGGCTCAGAGCAGGACAGCAGGTGACTGACAGCCATGGGAGGCCCGGGAGGTGGGCTGCGTTGAGCAGTGGTACCAATTGTCTCTTCACAGGGAGGATGCAGTGGAGCCATTTGTTTTCTGCACATGTGGTATAAACATCTGAATTTTTGTTTAAGTCGTCTTGTGCTTTTTTGGGCAAATGGCACATGAATTACCTTTTCCTTATGAAAACATGGGTCCCGTTTGCATTCGTATCAGAAGTGCAGGAGAATCGTCGCCTGGCTGGTCCCATGCTTTCTATGATTTGTTTCATGTGTTGGTTTCCTGCCTAGGCAGTATTCTCCCATGTGGCCCACCTGTCCCGACAGCGGTCCCCACTGACCAGGGAAGGCCTGGACGAAGGCATGCCCGCAGCCCAGGGCTCCTCCCATGATCCCACGGAGCCGCAGGCGCCTGGAGCAGGCGAGGGCCCTCCCGTGCACAGGGGCGTTTTGTGCTCTTGTCCTCTGGACCCTGTTACAGATTTCTGGGGAGCATGGGTGTCGTCAGCCTACTAATGTGTTTAAAAATGTGTTCCTTTCTGGGACCATGTCACAATTGTAGTTCGTTAGGTTCTGTCTGAAGAGTTACTCCTGCGATGCAGGTCTCTGTGGGAAAGGGTGGGTGGAATGTGCTCTGGAGGGTACATGCAGGAGGCACGCCCTCTGCCTCCCTGCAGTGGCGGGTCTGCTGCCACGCGAGGTTGGCACAAAGTAACCATGGCATCAGTGGGAGGGTCATCTTTGAAATAGTATCTGACAAATTTATAAATACATTCAGATATACCAACTTGTTACAGCTTGTGACAAAATTCTGAGGACTGCATTTGATCACAGGACTGAGATGGTTCCCACTACACATAAAGGCCCTTCCCTGTATTGGGGTAAAATGTCTCTCTTGAAGCTTGTTCTGGTAACCTGGAGCTGTACTCTATTGCTCGCTTAGAGCTCCATCTTACCTGCTGACCCCCAAGGTAACAGGAGCTCGGCGTGTCACGTGTTCAGTCCCTGACCTCCTGGTTTCGCAGGGGTCTTGTGTGGGTGCCCTCCATTGTCTGTGAGACCCACGGAGCAGGTTGTGCAGGTGCACAGAGGGCAGCATGTGGCAGTAGCCTCCTCTCCGTCGGCGTGCTGCGTGGAGGTGCCGGAGGTACTCCCCGCACGTGGGGAAGGCTTCATGAGCCCACGCGCCCGCAGCTCTGACAGCCGTCGTCAGTCTTGCTCCTTGGCTCACAGTAAAACGCTGCTGAACTGCTCTTTAGAGTCCCATCTCTGAACGTCTGTTACGTGTGCTTTCGTGTGACGACAAGGGCGCGAAGCAAGTGCTGCCCCTGTTGAAGTCTGATGCTCGTAGGAGACAGACAAAGGGCAAACCAGAAAAAACAGCCAAGCAAGTGGAACCACCGTTTCTGCAGTCCCTTTGCATGTTTCAAACAGTTAAGCACACTTTGTCCAAGGAGTGTTGGATTTCTAATGATACCACTTGCAAGTGTTTGTGTTTTGCCTTCGATTATATCCTTTCTCCAATTTGCATCTGATAGAATTTTTCAAAAATATAGATGTTATGTGTTCTGCTGTGTAATCGTTAAGAAAATAATCTTTTGTTTAAGCATTATTTAATAAGATTGGCTTCTTTCCTAACCTTTTAAAATGAATATTTGGATTTCCCAATTAATTTCTCAAGTTTATATTTTGTAACATATATTAAGAGGCTGCCCCACGCAAACTTTTGAAAGTTTACTTTCTTTCATTTAGAAAAACATTTCTATTCCAGGGAATGTAGAATAAATTTTTTTATAGAAGATCCAAATAATAAAGTATATTAGATCATCTTCGTCTTTATTTTAAAATGCTGCTGTTGAGCAAAATGTTTTAATTGCCAGTTATTTGATTTATAAACATTTAGTGTATATGTTCTGCTTGGTCTTATGTCTTTCTAAAATTCCTGGAGTAATATAAAAGCTCAAAATGTGGTTAACCGGTGCAATATGCTCAGAACCTGTAACTTACTACTTGTTGAAAGTGTTAGGGTTTAGAAGATCCATAATCTGATTCAAAAACTGAATAATCTTATATAGTCAAGTTATTTTTCTTAGTTCTACCTGGTATTCACCTGAGGTTTCTTTCTTTTTCTTTTTTTTTTAATGACC